TTAATACTTATCTCACTAAATCTTCACAACAGTCTTACGGATAGGTAGTATTTCCCCATTTTACAATGAGGAAAATGAGAATTAAAGACTTGTAGAGACAGAGTTTTTCTGATTTCACATCTTATCCCTACTTTCCACTAAACTAGACTGCCTGGTTATAATCATCCGATCATAACAGGCTGCCTGTCCACTCTGTGTGCTACTTGGCATTGTTAGATAACTGATTTCTGCATAAATTAGGTATTACTTGTGTAAGTCTCAGGTTTCTAGTCCTTGGAGTAAAGGTGGTTTTGAAGTAGGACTAAGGGAATGATAACCATAATAATAGTGGTGTGTAGTTATTGATCTCTGCTGTTTTAATGTTATAATGTGGAAACAAGTTGAAAGTATGTCAGTGTTAACTGTGAACTTTACATTCACAAGGGAGGAAAATTGAGAACATATTCCTTTGAATCATGAGTGACAAATGGATTATAAATGCTATATCCCCGACCAGCTTTTTGTGGTTTTTGCTTTGTAAGTTCAGCCACATCGTTTTATTTTGGTATCCAGGCAGTAGTAGTAGAAAACTACTGCTCGTCTTCAGTGTTACTCTGTTACCTCAACAGTGAGCAGAGCAAAATGAGTGAATGAATGTATTATGTCTGTATGTCTGTTGATAGGATAGGTTTATAAACTGATTGTACTATATGGAATTGATCAAGTTTAGTACATTGTACATAGTAAATAAATCAATGTATTAAAAAATAAAAAACATTTATTAATGAATTTATTACTATATGGCGAGTGGTTAATGCATTTTACTCTCATGGAAATTTTAGATGACAGGCCTTCAGAGTAAACACTCAAAGTCCAAGTGGATGTTTATTATTAAGAAAAGGATAAATTAATTCTTTAATAAAGAAATATTGAAAACATGACGTCAGGTTATTGAGTCTTGTATAACCACTTTTTCCAAATAGCATGTAAAATCATTGCTTTGATAATGTAGACTTTTTCTTGATAGAATTTTTCATTTTCAGTGGTGAGAAAAACTAAGTAGATTTTGAAAAGGATAATTTTTACATTCAAATGGAGTTTGATCTCTTCTATATCCTATCCCACACATTTGATTATGGAAATGTTGCTGTCCCAATATTCTGTAGTCTAAAAGTAAACAGTTCTATGACTGTTTCATATTCAGAGTACTGCCAAGAAGTCAATTACAGCACCTGAAGAATGACGTCAAGATTTAATATTTGAAAAGATGTTTCAAACAACCAGATAACTTCGCATAATTGGACAATGATTGGAAACAACCTAATCTTGTATTGCCTTTCCTTCCTAATAAATTATGTGCAAATGGTTTTTCTGTCAATCTATTTTAAAAAAGGAATGCTTTTTTGAGCTTTAGGGAAATATTTTTCATTTGAAGTCATTCTTTACCATCTTGCTAATAGATATGATTCCTGAAAAACAGGGCAGTTTAATCTTTAATATAGTTTTTTGCTTTTGCACAATCTAATAACACATACTTAAAAGAAAACATTTCAGTTATCATTTTCACTTCTATACCTTTACGTATTTTAGGTATAAATGCATTTATTTTTATACCTTTCTATTTGTTTCTGAATATAAAAAGAATAATGGTAATCTTGCAGAGTTGCTTGCTGCTTCTGCCAACTCTTGTTGTTGATTTGAGATTTATAATTCAGCTTTACTCCAAGGATTTTTGACACTTGTGCATGTTCTGCTGTATAGAAATGTAAATGAGTATTCTTCTGGAATTATTGGCTGGTAACTGAATTTTCTATTTTTACGTTATTTCTTCCATGCTGCTGCTTGGATTGCATTGCTGCAAGCAAACCACATGTTTTATCTTTAATCTTTTATTCTTTATAAAAATCTATCTATTTTCTTGCAAGGATCACACATCAGTAATAGTATTTTTGTCATTCTAAAAGTCTTGTCTCTGTGATGGTGAAGAATGGTAAGTGGAATCATTGCTTCTAGAACATCATTTCCATATTGACTTCCCATGTTTGTTTCCTCATTTGAGCGCTGGTTCTCCTTTGGAGCTCTACTTGTGTTCATAGATATTTCAGATATTTTATCCTCCTTACTTGATAAGGAAATTCATATTTTTTTCTCTCATTAAAGACATATACATTGAACATGCATCTCCACCTCCATTTGATTTTAATTCTTGCACCTTGATGATTTCTAGATCCATGTTGGAAAAAATATGGGCCTTGCCATGCAAGGTCCATCACTAACTGCTTTGCTATCCTTAGCCATTGCCGCTATTTATCTTGCATCTCCTGTTGGTAACTGAATGCCATGTTTATAATCAAAATTATTTCTTCTCTGACTTTTGCCATTGTTTTTCATCTAGACTGATCTGCCTTCTGATTCTCATGGAGTAATACAAATGGCCATTACTATACTCCCTCAAATGCTAGAAGCCCCCAAATATTTTGAATTTTCTCTTATTTTTCTCATTAGGGTGCAGCGTAGATGCCAAGCAAGTTGAGGAACAATCTGCAGCTGCAAATGAAGAAGTACTTTTTCCTTTCTGTAGGGAACCAAGTTACTTTGAAATCCCTACAAAAGAATTTCAGCAACCATCACAAATAACAGAGAGCACTATTCATGAAATCCCAACAAAAGACACACCAAGTTCCCATACAACAGGTGCAGGGCATGCTTCATTTACCATTGAATTTGATGACAGTACCCCAGGGAAGGTAACTATTAGAGACCATGTGACAAAATTTACCTCTGATCAGCGCCACAAGTCAAAGAAGTCTTCTCCTGGAACTCAAGACCTGCCAGGGATTCAAACTGGAATGATGGCACCAGAAAACAAAGTAGCTGACTGGCTAGCACAGAACAACCCTCCACAGATGATCTGGGAAAGAACAGAAGAGGATTCCAAAAGTATTAAAAGTGATGTTCCAGTTTACTTGAAAAGGTTGAAAGGTAAAGTGCATCGATCATTTCGGAACTTCCTATTTTATGATAGAGAAAACTCAGTCCTCGTAGCTAACCAAACTACTGTTAGATAAATAAGTATGTGAGAGAAAACTTCTGCTTTTTCAGAGGTCTATATTTAGTTTTAAAGCTCAAAAGTAAGACACACTGCCTGTGTTCAACTTAATCATTCAAAATACTCTGCCATCATTTTCTTGCCAAAACCAGATTGGTTTTATAAATCTGTATTTACACCATTAAATTTGTTTCTTTTTCTTATGAATATAAAAGATCTGTTCAGTTCAACAGTGAAATTCCCTAGAAGACAATTCTTATCATTTTCTTGACTTAAGTAGAAGATTTATTCAATTCTATTTTTATCTATTGTAATGCTTCCAGTAAAATGTCAATATCTAGATTTTGAAAGAAGTTTTAAGCCATTGGGCCAAAAGTTCTACTTTGCTAGTATAGTCACGTTGTTAATAGATTGTTTCATACTGTTCTCAGTGGCTTCTCATAAAACAAAAGTTTTTGGTTTAGAGATACTTCCTGGGAATCAATCGAATTAAAAATTTTTTCAATATTAAGACTTTTATGAAAATCACAATTGAATGTTTATTTGTGAAATAGTTACCATATATGCTTTACTAGTATAACACTAGTCACAATTAGTAAAATCTTTACACCTGTACATCACAGTATTAGCTGATCATGTTTTCCCATTGGTTTTGCTAATTAAATTTATTTTAGAATTTACTGAATACAGATTTGTGCTACTCTATCAACTTTTATTTAACAGACTATAAGGGAAGTGGTTTTATGTTGATGTGACCGTTCTGTTACTATACAAGGAGTTAATGAGTTTTTAAAAAAATGCTCTTTGAGGTCAGAGACTATATATTACTTACCTTGTATGCCTACCACTTCACCTAGGACTTGAATATGTGATAGGTACTCAGTAATTTGAATAAACATGAATGACTTCGCTGTCAATGACAAGAATGAACGTGGCTTAACCCATATGGCCTGGGATTCTAACCAAGTAATGAAGAAATGCTTATTTTTTATTTGCTTCTAAGGCATCTCAGGATAGTGAGATGATGTGATAACTTAATTCTTTGTTGGGGCCTATTGCTATATTTAAATATAATCATAAGCAATTACCTGGCATATGTACTTTGACATATGATTATAATCTTTTCTACTAGAGAATATTACATATATAATTGAGACCTAAATGTGTATGTATAGGTTAAAGCTTATAAATGAAAGCTACCCATTTGTAAACTGACCATTTTTATGATTTGGATAAGTAACAGTGTATCCTATAATATAAAAGGTAGCATAAAATTTGAAAATTTAGAAATAACAGCATCTTTTTTAAACCAATCTTAAGTGTATAAAAAATGAGCAAAAAGATTCTTTTAAAAGTTACCATTTAAAAAAACGCCTGTATTAACCCTTTTATTGTAACTTTTTTAATCATTATAACTATTTTCTGTATTAGCCGTTATTTTTAAGCCGTCATTTTAAGACAGTTTCTGTTCTTGAATGAGGCCCATTCATAAGTATGATTCCAATTAGAGGCACTAATGCTCACATTAACACTGCATCTAAATATTAATGATTAGATATTTGAAAACCTTACCAGAAATTGTGCAATAAAATTACTGTTGTCCCTCAAAGTTGATTTATAGGTAGACCTATATTCTAGTGTGTTGCCATTGCTTAGAACCCCACTTTTGGATTTGCCTTCAGACCATTTTACAAGCCATCCAAGAAAATTTCTTTGTGACTATAACTCAGTTTGGTCCAAGGTATATCCACTTTATTTCTCCAGATACATTTATGAATGACATTTGACTTTCCCCCCAAGTCAGAGCTGCCATCATTAGATAAAGATTTTCCACACTTTAGAATATCAGAAGTATATACCTAGACTCCAAATGTAATTATAGCAAATAGCAACAATTTTACAATAATTAGACTTTCAGCAACTGTTCAGATCAGTCGAAAACTTGAAAGTAGGCAAAACAAAACAAAAACAAAAACCCTTTGCTCCTATAAGAGTAAAGTGCACGCGCTTTGGGACAGTGAGGAAGATGATGTTCACAAAGCCCATACACTTTTACTCTTTAGGAGAGCCACAGCTACTGACTTGGTACAGTAACCTACCCTAAGAGATACTGAAAGAACTTCAGCAGATGCGCACATGGTTAATGATAAACAAAACAGGAAGAAAGAAACTTGAGGAGGAGTTTCCTAGCGATTTTTTTGTTGAGTAAAAACAAAAGTTGCAGTTCTGATCAGAAGTCTCACCTTGTGTGACACTGAGAAATACAAGAATGAATAATAATCTTCCAAAAGAGAAAATGGCTAATCTATAAAGGGAATTTTTAAGCCATAATTTAAAGATACGATACTGAAAGGACCTGACACCACTTAAACCCAAATTTTATGTGTTGGTACAAGAACTAAATTCTGTAAAGATGGTGCTTTCATGTTGTGTGTGTGTATGATGTGGGTTATTTGGTCTTATCGTGCAGGAAATACTGGAGTTTAGTTATTTCCAGCTCTTACAAACTGGATATCTTTTTAGTATATCTGATGACCCAATGAAATAGGCTGTAATGTGTCACAGCCTGTTTTTGGTGAGTTTTGTATGTAAACTGGTGGTTGGTTTGGTTTTGCATCCCATCTGCCATCCCTGATTCCCGACTTCATTACTTGAGGCAGGCATTCCGTTAGTTACACACCTGGTTTTTTCTTTTCAAATTGTGTTTTGCGTAGTCCCTAATCTGAAGAAAGAGTTTCAGGTTTGTTGTCTTGTCTAACATTTACAGTATGAATCGCCATCACTGTGCTGGGGAGCGCCCGGAACCTTTGCATTTTGGTTTTAGGCACTCCTTTTGCTTCCCTTGCCTTTTGCTTTTCCAAAATGTTGTCCTTTTGTCTTCTGAGCCTTCTCACTCCTTTGATGTACCACACTTTTACAGCTGACCCTCTTGTGTTAAATCGTTAGCACCAGTTAGTAACCTCTAAATTCATTAGATGGAAACCCAGGAATCTTACAGTTCAGCTTTTCCCTTGCACATACCGCCTTTGTCTTTCCCTGCTCTCACGTCTTTCAGTTCTGGTCATCCTCTAGTTTGATGCCATATTGTACAGAAGATAACTCGGATTAAAATTTTTAGCCCAGGAAAATTTAAACATCAGATTTAGTCCTGGAAGCTTTGGAATGTATCTGGTTGACTAGATTCATTTATACCTTCCTTCTAAAGAAGCCATCATTCAAGCCCTCATTTTTTATTTGATCTAAAACATATGTGGAGTAGCTCTTGACTTTCCAATAATTTCATGCTATAATGATGTAATAATCATTTGATCATTTCTTCTAATGTTATTATTTGGGCAATGAGAATTCTAAATCAGTGAACTATCAAGTAATTTTCATAGAGTTTTACCTGTAATCCCTACTGGAACCATGAAGGGTAACAAAAATCCTCTGTTAGGAAACTGATGTTTCAAAATTTAAATATATTCTAACTTGACTCTTACCTGCTTTACGGAGAAGACAAATAGATTTTGATCTGGTTATATTTAGCACCATGCCATTTGTCTAGTAGATGCTTAGATTTCTATAGGATCTCATAGACTATGCTTTTCCATGATAGGCCTTTTAGCTTGCTTTATTTAACTCTGAAGCCACCAGAGTTTATAGCACAAATGCAAATTTTCAAAAATTCTCATAGCTAAAAAGATGTTTGTAAACACTTGTACAGTAATTGGTGGAAACTACAAATTTGCATCCTTTATTAAAAATGAAAGGTATGCTATACTTTTGGAAGTATTGAACATCGAAAGTTAAAACTAATCACATTTTTGTGGCATTTTTATTCTTTTACTGTGTAATGATAAGCATTTCAGTGGGATCACGCTTTTTCCTATCTCTCTTATACTAGAGAGACATTTTTGATTGCTTATAAAGGTATAAGATTTGAAGGCAGGATAATGTTTATTAACGTTATAAATATAGACTATTACAGATGATATGGCACTGCTTATCTGCTAAGGCATTGATGAATCATTATAAAGTTAAAATTTGGAGAAAGACAATCCTATTGAATTGTTTATAAAGGACCTCATTGTTGGTTGATAAAATTTGAATGTAAGCATTGCAATTGAGGGAAGTTTGCAGAGCCTGTTACTGAAAAGAACATATGACTTTGGATTGAAAAGGGGGAGGGGGCAAAACAAATAGCACTTTTGTATATGCTTCTAATTTTCTACATGGGGTTTTGCCTTCTCTATTATGTGGTTTCTTTTTCGTGTCCAGGAAATAAGCATGATGATGGTACACAAAGCGATTCAGAAAACGCTGGGGCTCACAGGCGCTGCAGCAAACGTGCAGCTCTTGAGGAACACTTACGGCGCCACCACTCAGAACAGAAAAAGCTGCAGAAGGCCCAGGCTCCTGAAAAGCAGCAGGAGCAAGCTGCTGTAAGTCAGACCGCTTTTACGATTGCATTCTTTGATGAAGACAATCCCAGAAAAAGAAGGTCATATTCTTTTACTCAGAGTGCAGGAGTCTTGTGTCAGGAAACTACTTATGCAACACCACATACAAAACTTGAAAAAACAAAATCTCCAACAGCAGATGCCAAAGTGGTTTCTTTGTCTTTACAGACTAGCTCTGCGCATCACAGAGGGGGGCATGGTGTTCCACATGGGAAATTGTTAAAACAGAAATCAGAGGAGCCATCGGTGTCAATTCCCTTCCTACAAACTGCATTATTAAGAAGTTCAGGGAGTCTTGGGCACAGACCAAGCCAGGAGATGGATAAAATGTTAAAAAATCAAGCTACTTCTGCCGCTTCTGAAAAGGATAATGATGATGACCAAAGTGACAAGGGTACTTATACCATTGAGTTAGAGAATCCCAACAGTGAGGAGGTGGAAGCAAGAAAAATGATTGACAAGGTAAATAATTGAAATTTGGATATGATGTTAGTTTTCGTGTGGTGTATTTGACTGTTAGAAATTACTGGAGAGTCAGCGTGAAGTGTTCTCATGTGGTCAGTGGTATTGGAACTGCAGGACTTTGTTAGGGAACTGCAAGACTAAAAATAAGACCAAAGTTCTTTCTGATTTTATTCTGCTTATATTCTGAATTTGCCTGAGTTTCGTATGTAAAGTCCAGTACATTTAAACTGCTTGGACCTTTTAAAGTTGTGTAAATTTAAGATAGGATTTTAAAATAGTATACTTTGCATTTATTTAAAAACTAAAAAATAAACAAAACCAGATTGCCATGACTCTGTTAATGTAAGCATTAATGTTAGCTAATAGTAGTTAACCACAGGTTTCCTGCCTACTAATTTCATGTTAGAAGCAGATGAAAATATGTATGTTTTAATCAATTTTGTTCTTTGTCCTTATTTTCTTTTGTTAATTTCTATTCACTGCTTTATTTGGTGATAGAAAAGAAGTGTATGAAAACAAAATTAGTTTGTTTATGATACTCTGAGTTTAGCCAAGTGTATGCCTGATCATGATTATTTATGTTTCAGATTTGTTCTTTGACGTTATTGGTTAATGTGATAATGCCTGTTGTATTGTTTCAAAAGTAGTTTTTCTCAGTTTTACCCATGGTAATGGAAAGTTGACTTTAGAATCAGCTGTTTATTTTACCCCCTGGAAAATAGCAACATAAGTTTGGCTAAACATTAATCTCGTGTTTAAGTTCTTGTTACTCTGTGTGAGCAGCATTAGCATCAATTAGGAGCTTGTTAGAAATATAGAATCTCAGGCCCATCCTAAACATACTGAATCAAAATCTGCTTTAAAAGCAAGGTCTCCGGGTGGTTCGTATGCACATTAACATTTGAGGTGCCTGGTTTAGATGATGAATTTACAGAGTGGTCTTTCAGGCAGTAGAGTCCTAAATTATTAGGACTAACGTTTGCTTTTAATTTCGTAGTTTTTATTTCCATTTTGGAGTGTGTTCTCTAGTGTATGCAATATATTACTACATTTGTATGTATATAATTTCTAAACATACATTTATTGAGGAGCACATGCTCAAAATTTTTTTTACCGTTGGAGTGTACAACTCCAAACTTTTGGAGATCCATTAGTATATGACATAGATGCTGTGTGAGCAGTGTTATGATAGTTGTTAATGAGAAACATAGCAAGTAAGAAACAGATGAATAAAGCGAGTTTTCTGATTATGTTAAGGGAAATATAAGGACACAGTGTTAGCATAGAAAATGACTTGGTGATTTTGAATTGTTTTCAAATCAGGCATTGATAATGACATTTCTTTAGGATTATTTTAAAGTTCATAATTTTTCTTCTGGGTATCGAGAACAAGTATATTGCTATTTAAAATAGTGTCAAATGAAAAATAAGAGAATAGGTTTTGAAAAAACAGGAATGGTAAGAAGTTTTAAAATTCAGATTAATATTAATTTTATCCTATTATGCCTTTGTTTGGTTTATGGATATTTTATTCATAGTGACCGGTGTTTTCTCTGTTAAAAAGTTATTTTACAGTGGAGGATTATATTTCAGTGCTTAAGAACATGGACGTTTGCAGGCAGACAGATTGAGGATTGGGTGTAAACTGTGCATGTGCTAGATATCTGCCCTTGAGTAAACTACCTCTTTAGGCTTCCATGTTTTTTTCTCTGAAATGGAAGAAATTTCACTAGGTTATAAAAATAATTTAATAAAATACATAAAATGCTTATCCCTATGTAGGCGTTATAATAAGAGGTCTATAAATGTTAGCTGTGTTCCCAAATATAGATCTCTAGGCAAGATGCTTATAAATCCTGGAAGGTTCTTTCAGAATTGCAAGGGTCAAATCTGCAGCCCAAGTGGAAGTTGCAGTGCAGGGGAACAGCGTGGCCAGAACGGCAGAAGCCAGGACAGACGTCATCGTGGCAGAGAAGACTCTTTAGGAAACTGCTGGGTCGAAAGGGTGACCACAAAACTTGGTGGACACCTGCTGTCTGTAGTTCTTTCTCAAGAAGAGTCCCAGTTTCAATGACAAATTATACGGTTACACTATGGATAGAGAAAACCTAGATTTTAAAACAGTATTTATTTAAGGGAATATGTGACCGAATAGATAATT